TGGGTTGCAGGTTTGATCCCTGGCCCCGGTTGGGTGCATGGGGGAGGCAACCGATCGATTAGTCTCTCTCATATTGATGCTTCTCTCTCTCCCCTCCCTCCCTTCTACTCTCGCTACAATCAATGGAAGAAATATCCTCAGATGAGGATTAACAAAAATAAACAAAATGTCACAGGCTGATGAAAGGATGCAATGAGCATCAGAACAATGCCCTGGACATCAAGCATGTCAAACTCGTGGGCCGCGGGCCTCATTTGTTTGGTGCTGGCCTTTGAGTTTGACAGGCTTGCTGTACACAGTGAGGGATCACATGGCAGCTGCTAGAGACAGAGAAGATAAGCCACACCTAGAAGCGATGCTCGGCTACTCCCAAGGAGGTGTTCTTTTTTAAAAATATATATATTTTTATTGATTTCAGAGAGGAAGGGAGAGGGGGAGAGAGAAACATCAATGATGAGAGAGAATCATCGATCGACTGCCTCCTGTACGCCCCCTACTGGGGATCGAGCCCTCAACCCAGGCATGTGCCCTTGACTGGAATTGAGCCCAGGACCCTTCAGTCCGCAGGCCGATGCTCTAGCCACTGAGCCAAACCAGCTAGGGCTCAAGGAGGTGTTCTTTACCTCTCGGCTGAGTGGCCGGGACCCTGACAGAGGCCGATGAGGCGCTGATGTCTTTGGCTGCTAGAGCATGACCGCTAAGAGCATAGACCAGCGATGGCGAACCTTCTGAGCTCGGCGTGCCAGCATTTTGAAAAAACCCTAACTTAACTCTGGTGCCGTGTCACATACAGAAATTTTTTGATATTTGCAACCATAGTAAAACCAAGACTTATATTATTGCTATTTATTTTATATATTTAAATGCCATTTAACAAAGAAAAATCAACCAAAAAAATGAGTTCGTGTGTCACCTCTGACACGTGTCATAGGTTCGCCATCACTGTCCTAGAGTGACTGAGAGAATGAGATGGGAACACGGTAAGGTTCTTAGGACTTCACTGGCACATGGTGGACACTGATCAGCATTCTCTATCCTGAATGACCCTGCCCAGCCAGGAGGGTGGTGTCAGAGTCCCATGTGAAGGTGAGAGAGGTGTTTCCTGGAGGAAAATGCTTCCCTGTCCTGGGCCCCTTTGCTCACAGGCACTTTGAGCTGAGTGACCAGAAGGACCCCCAGGAGGCGGCTAAGCTCTTCTCCGTGCCTGACTTCGTGGGGGACGCCTGCAAGGCCATAGCGTCCCGGGTGCGGGGGGCCGTGGCCTCGGTCACCTTCGATGACTTCCATAAGAACTCGGCCCGCATCATTCGCACGGCCGTCTTCGGCTTCGAGACTCTGGAACCCAAGGGGACCGATGCTGAGACTCTGCTCCAGCCCCGGGACCGGGCCATCTTCCCCCAAAATGGACTGGTGATCAGCAGCGTGGATGTGCAGTCGGTGGAGCCTGTGGACCAGAGGACCCGGGACGCCCTGCAGCGCAGCGTCCAGCTGGCCATCGAGATTACCACCAACTCCCAGGAGGCAGCTGCCAAGTGAGTGAGGGCAGCCGCCCGCAGTGCCTCCCATGGCCAGACCTCTCCAGGGGCTCCATCTCCAGTCCCCTGCTGGGCCCTGCATAACATGGCATCCCCTGATGGTCAGTCTACTGTTGTCCTATGGGGAAGACAGCATGGTCCACTTAGAGTGTGACCAGATGCCACCCTGCTCCTGTGGCTTCTCGCCTTGCTTGTGCCAGAACCAAACTCATTTCTGCGCTCTTGCAGGCGCTCTGAGTGCAGCCCTGCCCCCCCCCCCCCCACACACACACACACCTCAACTTTCAGCCTTCTCCCCAGGCTCCAGGCCCACCAGCTCCTTTCTTTGTTTTGTTTTTGTTAGTTTTAGTTTTTTAAAAATTTTTATTGTTGAGAGTATTACAGATATCTTCCCCCGCAACCCCATTGCTGGTTCCCGCCCTGCCCCGCCCCAGGCCTTCACCACCCTATTGTCTGTGTCCATAGGTAATGCATATATGCATATAAGATCTTTGGTTAATCTCTGCCCACCCCCCTCCCCCCTCCCCTCTGAGATTCATCAGTCTGTCCCATGTTTCCAGGCCTCTGGTTCTATTTTATTCATCAGTTTATTTTGTTCATTACATTTCTTGTTCATTTATTTTGAATTTTAGATTTGATTGTTGATATGTATTTATTGTCATTTTATTGTTCACATTTCCTATCTCTTCTTCCTCTTCTTAAAGAATACCCTTCAACATTTCATGTAATACTTGTTTGGTGGTAATGAACTCCTTTAGCTTTTTCTTGTCTGTGAAGCTCTTTATCTGACCTTCAATTCTATGAGAGCTTTGCTGGGTAGAGTAATCTTGGTTGTAGGTCCTTGCTTTCCATCACTTTGAATATTTCTTGCTACTTTCTTCTGGCCTGCAAAGTTTATGTTGAGAAATCAGCTGACAGTCATATGGGCACTTGCTCCCTTGTAAGTAGGTAACTGCTTTTCTCTTGCTACCTTCAAGATTCTGTCTTTAACGTTTGGCATTTTAATTATGATGTGTCTTGGTGTGGGCCTTTTTTAGGTTCCTCATGTTTGGAGCTTTCTGCACTTCCTGAACTTGTAGGTCTATTTCTTTCACCAGGTAGGGGAAGTTTTCTGTCATTATTTCTTCAAATAGGTTTTCAATATCTTGCTCTCGCTCCTCTCCTGGCACCCCCATAATGCAAATGTTGGTACACATGAAGTTGTCCCAGAGGTTCCTTACACTGTCTTCATATTTTTGGATTCTTTTTTCTTTTTGCTCTTCTGATGGGGTGTTTTTGCTTCCTTATATTCCAAATCATTGATTTGATTCTCTGAATCCTCTACTGTTGAATCCCTGTAAGTCATTTAATTAGTGTATGCTTAATTTCTGACTGGTCCTTTTTCATGTCTTTGAAATTCTCACTAAGTCCCTTGAAGCTCTCATTAAGGTCCTTGAGCATCCTTATAACCATTGTTTTGAACTCTGTATCTAGTACTTTGCTTGCTTCCATTTCACTTAGTTCTTTTTCTGGAAATTTCTTCTGTTCTTTCATTTGTGACATGTTTCTTTGTCTCCGCATTTTGGCTGCTTCCCTGTGTTTGTTTCTGTGTAGTAGGTAGAGCTGCTATGTTTCCTGGAATTGGCAGAGTGGCCTTGCGTAGTAGGTGTCCTGTAGGGCCCAGTGGCTCAGCCTCCCCAGGCGCCTGAGCTGGGCACTCTAGGTGCGCCCCTGTGTGGGCTGTGCACAGTCTTGCTGTAGTTGAGCCTTGATTGCTGTTGGCATCACACCACCAGCTCCTTTCTGCTCTTCAAATGCACGGTTGAGCTGAAGGCCTTCTGCACGGGCTGCTCCCTGTTCCCAGGGTCCGCCCCTTAGGAGTTGCAGGACAGGCCCCTCCTCGGGCCTCAGCCCGAAGGTCACCTCCTTGGAGAGCCCATGGCTCTCTACCCCAACCGCAGCGGCACCCTCTTCGCCAAGTCGCCATGGTGTCCTCACTTTCAGGGAACTGGCCATTGTCTGAAATCTTCCTCCTTTACTTGTTTCTTTCCCCCTGGACGGTAAGCTGTATGAAAGCAGGGCCTTGGTCATGACCGCATTCCCTTGAGCCCAGAATCGTGCTGGGCTGGCAGTGTGCACATAGTTCTTCTGTTTCATGTTGGGTGCCTCCCATGGGCCTGGCTCTGTCCCACGTAGATCAGTGGTGCCTGCCCTTGGAGCTCCTGTGCCAGCTCTGCCCCACACCAGCATCTTCTGTGTTCTCTCTCCCATCCAGGCATGAGGCTCAGAGACTAGAACAAGAAGCCCGTGGCCGGCTTGAGCGCCAGAAGATCTTGGACCAATCAGAAGCCGAGAAAGCTCGCAGGGAACTCTTGGAGCTGGAGGCTCTGAGGTGGGTCGATAACTAAAGGAAGTCCTGCCTGGGTAGCTCAGTTAGTTAGAGCATCGTCCCAATACGCCAAGATGGCAGGTTCCAGCTCCAGTCATGGCACATACTAGAATCAACCAACGGGTGCATAAACAAGTGGAACAATGCGGGATGTTTCTAAATATATATATGTATATATATTAAAAAAGAACTAAAAGAAAAGATGGCCTGCTGAGGATTCTGACAAAGCAGCTGGTGGGGGGAGCCAGGGGGGTCATAACATGAGGAACTGTATTTAAAGGGCCAGAAGGTTGAGAATCACTGACTAGTGAAAGTGGCTGCAGCACAAGTCAGAGCTGGAGGAGAGCAGGCAGGGCAGGGCTTCCTCTGGGTCTCGCTGACTGTGGATGTCCCCAGCACGGCCGTGGAGAGCACCGGGACCGCCAAGGCGGAGGCCGAGTCCCGCGCAGAGGCGGCACGCATCGAGGGACAGGGCTCCGTGCTGCAGGCCAAGCTGAAAGCAGAGGCCTTGGCCATCGAGACGGTGAGTGGGGGAGATGCCCCTGGAAGGGTGTGGCCTGCTGTCCCTGCAGCCGAGTGGGACACCAAGTGCCCTAATATTCAGCTCTACTCACATGTTTGTGGTTTATAAAGTCCCTTGTCCTCTGTCAATTCACTTCCTACCTGCCTGGAAGACATAGATGATTTTTTTTTTAAACTTTTTTTAAAAAATTTTTTTATTGATTTTTAACAGAGGAAAGGAGAGAGATAGAGAGTCAGAAACATCGATGAGAGAGAAACATCGATCAGCTGCCTCCTGCACATCTCCTACTGGGGATGTGCCCACAACCCAGGTACATGCCCTTGACTGGAATCAAACCCGGGACCTTTCAGTCCGCAGGCCGACGCTCTATTCACTGAGCCAAACCGGCTTCGGCCACAGATGATTATTATACTCATCCTCCGTGTGATATGCGCTCGAACATTGGGCAGTTTTGTTCCAGGTATTGCATATGTTTTACATGCATGATCTTATTTAATGTTCAGAAGCCCATGAGAGTAGGTATTATTGCATTTACAGATGAGGGGACTGAGGCTTGGATTAAGGGCCTCCCATGGGTCACTATCTAAAGGTGGCATCGTCAGGATTCACACTTAACAGACTAAGTTTACAATCTCCTTACTTCCACCCCAGTTCCCTCAGGCTTGCTGGCGAGGTGACTTGCTGGACGGTCCCTGGGGGCCCACGTGATTGAAAGAATGCTGGGTTTCCCCTTTCAGGAGGCTGAGCTCCAGCGGGTAACGAAAGTACGAGAATTAGAACTGGCCTATGCCCGGTCCCAGCTGGAGCTGGAGGTGAGCAAGGCCCAGCAGCTGGCTGAGGTGGAGGTGAAGAAGTTCAAGCAGATGACGGAGGCCCTGGGCCCCAGCACCATCAGGGACCTTGCCATTGCAGGGCCAGAGATGCAGGTGAGAGTGGGGGGAGGGGCGTGTGTGTGAGTGTGTCTTGGGACCATACTGGGAACCAAGACGTTAGAGCCGGGGAGGCAAATACAACATCTAGAGCAGCGGTTCTCAACTTGTGGGTCGCGACCCCTTTGGCGGTCGAACGACCCTTTCACAGGGGTCGCCTAAGACCATCCTGCATATCAGATATTTACATTATGATTCATAACAGTAGCAACATTACAGTTATGAAGTAGCAACGAAAATAATTTTATGGTTGGGTCACAACATGAGGAACTGTATTTAAAGGGCCAGAAGGTTGAGGGTGGAGGGGTGAGGTGAGGGAGTGGTGGAACTGTCCCTGTATCCCAGGTCCTGACCTGTATCATTTGAGTTGGTGTCATACTGGGCACTGCCGTAGACTCAGCAGTGGACCGGAGCTTCTGGGGGCAAAATAAACAGATGGGACATCCGTGTGACAAGTGCTTCAAAGAAAGTCAAGTGGGAGATACCGTGAAAGGGGAGGTGACATTTCGAATTAGTTGGTCTAAGGAAGGTCACGTGAGCACTATGCAGAGTTGACACGAGCTTCCCAGGAGAGGGTCCAAGTGCAAAGACACAGGAGAATGAAACTTGCCGCATTTAAGGACCAGAAAGGCCTGGCGAGCGAAGGGTGGAATGGTGAGCTCCTGGGGCAGCTGCAGGGAGGGGCCGGGCTTCTGTGGCCCCAGGATGAGGGCGATGCGCCCCCGGGCCCCGCTGAGGCCCCTCGCCGATCACTGACTGAGCCTATGAGGACGGCTTGGGGGGCAGTTGCAGTGTCCGATGAGTGGGTGGTAGCCGCCCCAGAGAAGCGGCCAAGGGGATGAGAGAAGGGGCCGGGGTCTGACTCTGTCTTCTCACCCTCCGGCTCCCTCCAGGTAAAACTGCTTCAGAGCCTGGGCCTGAAATCGACCCTCATCACTGACGGCTCCACTCCTATCAACCTCTTCAGCACAGCCTTGGGTCTGCTGGGGCTGGGGTCCGAGGCCCAGCCGGCAGCCAAAAAGGCGGCCATGGGTCCTGGCCCCGAAGACCACTTGCTTCTCCAGTCCTCTCAAGTTCTTGGAAGCAAGCACACTGTGCCTTAGCGCCGTACAACGTCGACAAATAAAACGTACACTTCTGGGCATTGAAACTTTTGTCTCGTCTGTGACCCGGGGGAGCTTAATGCGAAGGTGGGGGCAGGGGAGGAGGGGTAGCGAAGACCTGACATCTTGAGGTAGTTGCTAGAGACGACCCCATGTGTAATGTGGAGAGGAAACGGAGGCCGGGGAACCCTAACCCAAAGTCACACTGACAGACATGGCCCCAAAGTCACACTCTTCAGCCAGACTGTCCTTCCGGTAGCAGCTTGCCTCCGGCTGCAGGTGGGAGAGATGCCCCTGGTGGGAGGACGGGGCCTGCACTGGCAGCGTCTCTGCCGATTCCTCCAGGACCCCAGCGGCAGGTGCATGCACCCCGCCCTCAGCACGTGGGCGGCTCCTTTGGCGCCACCTGCTGGTCACACCTGTTGTCCCTGTCAGGCGGGGAGGAGAATCCTGCCCAGGGGAGGTAGGAACTGGAGTGCCTCCCTGGGTTTCCAGTGTGGGCTCTTCGAGGGCATCGCGGGAGGAGTGTCTCCTCCCCCCTCCCCCAGGACTGTTTGAGTGTGGGCACCTGTGGAGGCTGCAGGGTGACCGTCCCTTCAGCCTGGGCGGCACTGAGGAAGCAGAAGATCCCAGGGTGGAGAGACGCTTGGGTTTGCTGGCTGTGTGGCCAGAGGGGGCGAGTCAGCCTCTTGATCTCTTCCTGTCTGTGATGGGCCAGCAAGTCCCCTATTGAGCAGGGCTGCAGTTTTGTTTGTTTTTAGGGTCTTTATTCCCCCCCCGCCCCCCCCCGCATCGACTCCCCGTGGGGCCTGACCCCAGGAGCCTTGCCCCTTTCCAAGTTGAGTTGCATTTGTGTGGCCAGTGGCTCCACTCACGTCTGAGCTGGTGGAGGCCAGGGGCTCTGTTTAGCCCTCAGCACTTGGTGGAGCTGGCTCAGCCCCTTCGCCTCTGCTTCCTCCCAACTCTCCTCCACTTCCCTTGAGCGGGTGATGAATTTAAAGCTCTTCACCTGGTGCCTGGCATGTGGTAAGGGATGTCAGCACTGTTCACTGCCAGGGGCCTCGGGTGAGTGACAGCAGGCAAGGTCATGGCGGGGGCATTCCTCCTTCCATCGCAGCCACCAGCTCCCACGGCCCTCTCTACCTCCGCACCCTCAACGCCTGCCGCTTCACCCTCACCTTCCAGCAGCCAGTCCTCCAACTCAAGGCTCCGGTGACCTTGACCCTGTCCATGTCATTCCCTCACTCAAAACCTCCCTTAACGCCCCACCTCTCCCCTCCCAGGTGATACTTAGTGGGAAAGCCCCACCCCACGCTGACCAGCTGTGTGTTGCTGGAAGGGGAACACCCACATACCCACACACTGACGCATCTCACGTTAAAGTCATGGCAACAGATCTCAAGGAGGCCTAATGCCACCTCTGAACACACGTCTTGAGCTTGTGCTAGATCCCCTTCGGGACACCTCTTCACAGCCCCTCTCCTCTCAGCCTCCCCACACCCCTGCCCACTTCCTCTCACCTCTTTGGGAAAACACAAGTAACTTGGGCAGGAAGGCTGGCCCCTCCCTGCAAATCTCCGCTCTCCCTCCTATTCCCTCCTGTCGGCAGCGCCTCCCCTGGGCTCTAGGTCCCACCGACCTCAAGTCCTGAGTGCACTCCTGCGTCCATCACCTTCTCTGCCGCCAGTTCTCCTCCCCTGGGCTCTAGGTCCCACCGACCTCAAGTCCTGAGTGCACTCCTGCGTCCATCACCTTCTCTGCCGCCAGTTCCTCCTCCCCTGGATCGTTGTCACCAGCCAAACGTGCTCCACTCTCTTCCTTGTAGAACCAGAGTGAACTCTCCCTTCGCCCCACATTCCTTCCAGCTGCCACCGCCTTCACGTTCCCTTCACAGCCAAATTCCTGTTTCCATGCCTCACTCTCATTATCCCTCAAGCCACTCCAATGAGCTCTTGTCTCCGCCCCATGCTACATGGAAACAGCTGAAATCAGCATTACCGATGATGTCCCTGCCGCTAGCCCAGTGTTAGGGTCTCCTCGTCCACCCCTCTCCCACCTGGTTCCCGTGGTGCCGCCTACTCCACCTTTCCCCTCACTGGCCGCTCCCCAGTTGCCTTGGGCGGCTCCACTTCCTCTGCTCAGTCCAGATCATGAGTCACCCTGGACCCTGCTCCCTGACTCAGCCTCTTTCTCCATCTCGCCACCTCAGGTCTCACCCTGAGGTCTGGGCTGATTTCCATTGATGACTTCCTTGATGTCTCCACGTGAATCTCTAATGGCTACCAGGCTTGGCCACATGACTGGCTCTGGCCAATGAAACTCAAGGGGGAGTGACATCATCATCCTCTTTTCCCTTTTCTGTGGTGACCAGCAATATCCCATGTAGAGGCTGCTCCATCAGCCTGGGTCCCAGAGAGAAAAATGGCAAGAAGGAGAAGCCAGCTCACCCACAGTAAACATGCAGCAGGAGCAAGAAATAGTATTTGCTGTATTACATCACTGAGGTTTGGGGGGTGGGGTTAATACGGTGGTACAATCTAGCTTTCCCTGACTACTATAGGGTGTCCCAAAATTCACGCAAGATTAAATCTTGCGTGAATTTTGGGGCACCCTATACATGCAGCTCACCAAGCTGTGAGCTACTACAAGGCAGGAGAGGAAGCTGGTCTTTAAACTGTGTGCATGAGGATGGGCTCAGCATGGATGGTATGATGAAGGAGACAGGATCTACCTCAGGGACAGGAAAACGGGCCTTGATGGAAATGCAGTGGAGTTACAGCTTGCACTGGAGCCAGAGACTTTTTAAAAAAATATTTTTTATTGATTTTTTACAGAGAGGAAGGGAGAGAGATAGGGAGTTAGAAACATCAATGAGAGAGAAACATCGATCAGCTGCCTCCTGCACACCTCCTACTGGGGATGTGCCTGCAACCAAGGTACATGCCCTTGACCGGAATCGAACCTGGGACCTTTCAGTCCGCAGGCCGACGCTCTATCCACTGAGCCAAACCGGTTAGGGCTGGAGCCAGATTCTAAGTCAGTCCCTGGTACCAAATTTATCCTTGAAGGTCCCCTAAACAGCCCATCAAACACAGAACAGCACAGCCTGTTTTCCTCCAGCAGCAGAGCACATGGCTTTTCTGGGTTGAATACCAGATGGAGCAATGGAATTGTGTAAGGGCCCCTTGAAAAAGAAAATCCTGTCTTTAAAGAGCAAGATCACATTCAGCGTGGCAAGGTGTGGTTTACCAAGTCCTCTTTCTCTTCTTCCTAAGCGCATAGATCCTCTCTATTTCCCAGCATCCCTTGCATGCAGCCGTGGCCCATGACTGAGTTTGTAGCTCTTGGAACTCAAGTGGAAGTGGTATGTGCCCATTCCCTGCCTTCCCAGCAAGCAGCCTGTGCACCCTCCAGGCGCCCCCCGCCCCCCTGCTGCCCATGGGAGCAAGCTGAATGGAACCACAGGTGGCCAGCAGAGCCCCCACATCTGTGTCTGGAGAGCTGCTTCACAATTAGGAGCACCTGATTGGGGCTTAACGTACGTTAAAAATAAACTATCATGTTTGAGCCACTGTACATCTTGAGGTCAATGCAGCAGTTCAGGCCCTTTAACCATCACAGTATGAGAGGCAGGAGGAGACTCAAGACCACCTGAGGGAACCTCTCAGAGGCAGGGCCCAGTGAGTAGGCACGGTGGTTCTTCATTCAGGCTAAAAGCGTGTAGCTGAATCCAGGAAGTTATGGCTGCACTTATCCTAATCCATCCGGGCTGCTGTCACAAAGCACCACAGACTGGGTGGCGCATAAACTACAGAAACGTATTTCTCCCGGTTATGAAGGCTGCAAGTCCAGGATTAAGGCACCAGCAGGGTCACGTTCTGGTGAGGCCCCTCTTCCTATTCACAGCCAGCGCCTTCTAGCTGTGTCCTGGGGTCTCTTTTATCAGGGGCGCTAACCCCATCCATGAGGGCTTGTGACCTAATCACGTCCTAAAGGCCTCACCTCCAAACACCGTCACATAGGGCACTAGGTTTCAACTCATGAATGTTGCAAGCACACATTCAGACCATAGCAATATACTAGGATAACGTGACTCCACCACATTCCCCAGGTGACTCCAATTCAGCCGAGACTTCCCCTCCTCCAGGAGGTCCCAGGGCCACCTGGCCCGAGGCTGTACACACAGGCTCCTCCTGGCAGGTTCCTCCTGAGCTTAGTCCGGTCACTGGATATGGGACCACAGGCACCACGCTGTCCTCAGGCCTTGGCCCATATTCTATTTGAGTGGAAAATGCTCACCCTCTTGCCCAACGCTCCCTCGTCTTTTTCAGGTCAGTAGCTGGATTTACACAGACAGACTCCTGACGTTACTATAAAAGGTTAGGGCCCAAGAGCCAGGACCATCCAGGGACAGAGGGCTCGAGTGCTCATTGGCCGGAGGAGTTGACGCAGGGAGGATGAAGGTCTTCTCACACCTTGACTGACTGGGCCAGGCCAGGTAGGAGGACACTTGCAGAGCTGAAGGGGCTGCTCAGCTTGTGACAGTCTTCCTCGAGTGTAAATGTGTCCCCGTCGCCGTGCTAACACTCCTGCAAGTGCCCCCCGGAAAGTCCAGGCGACTTACTGCAGCGTTGTTCACGATGGCGCGACCTGGTTAACAAGTGATGGGATTCTACGCCACCATTAAGAAGACCACTGATTGGACTGCTGTGTGTGGCGGGTGTGAAGGCTCTGCAGCCAAGCCAGCCAGGTTGGCCTCCTTCTCAGGACCTCTTTCCTTTTTGGAAAAGGCTTGTTGTATAGCTTAGTACACACTACAGTGTAGGCATCAGTTCAAGTAGAATAATACACGTCAAAAGCACTTGGAGCAGGGGTAGCTTGTTAGCAGAACAGCATATATAAAATATTTTAAAACATATGTGTAAGGGTGAATTTAGACAGGTACACAAGCAATGAGTAGCAGCGGTCGCCTCTGGGGAGAAGTGAGCACTTAAGGTGCCAGTTGCCTTCATCACCCTTTGAAAAATTGATGTTTAGAGAGAGGGAC